AAGTTAATCTCCTGAAGTGTATGCGATTTAATCCAATTCAACACATATATATGTGTGTATTCACTTGGCTGTATCCCTTGCTAGGAGTGTGAAACTTGCTACATTATGGCTATGTCTACACAGCCAAATGCTTTCAAATATACTGTATAATTTGCTTTAAGAAGTTGAAAAAGCTGCTAAAGACAAAGGAGAATGTCAGAGGTATCAGGTGTAACCAAGTGATAGTAAAACAAGATATTTGAAACACATACTCTTTTCATATAGTATAAATAGACTCCTGCCATTTTCAATTAAAATACATGTCAGAATATAGAGAGAAGAACTGTATATTTACAAAGGTAAATTACTAACTACAAAGGGTAGAATAGTAACTTTGCAGGAGAAAAATCTGGTAGACACCACCTTACCCAAATGATCAAAGTTATCACCACCAGTATTGGGATATGATACACTAATACATTCACAGCATCACCTCCAGGATACTTCAAGCAAAGACGTGTAACCTAAATCTAGTAATAAGCAACTGGAGAAAGGAAAATCAGTGGAGAGTCTACAAAATAACTGGTCTGCCTCCTTTAAAAATATCAAGGTCAAAAAAAAAGAATGGCTAAAGAACTGTTCTACATTAAAGACAACTAAAAAGGCATGACAAAGGCAACACAGACCTTCGATTGAATCAACGCTGAAAAGACTGATGTCTGGAGAGGCTAAGGACTTTGCATTAGATCACCTAGTCTCTTAGTGGCAGCACTGATAAACGTAAAGTCGAAAGCAAATCCTTCTGAGATTCTAGACCTAGGAACATAGGGGTGAACTCCTAAAATTTATATATATTTTTCAAATATTTTTCTTTTTAGCCTTTGGCATGTCTTAGGTCAAAGCCTGGATATTCTAACATAAGAAACATTATTATAAGGACTTAATCTTCATGGTTTTAATATTCAGAATTTTAAATATACATTAATAATCATAAAAACCCATTAACTGCAATATACTGCAATATACTGTATTATACTGTACATTAACTGGAACCAAAAACAGAATCGTGTGTTATTTGGCTTACAGAGGAAGAGAAAACACAGCTAGTGTGTAAACCTAGTAATCACCCATTATGGGTAAGCAAGTAATAAAAGTTTTAACTTTTTGGTGGGGAGAAAAATAATCCTCCACAAGTCCAACCAGCCATAGTGATAAGGAAATTAACGGTAAAACTAATGAATCCAACAAGTCCATACTATACTTAAGCAGGAACTTCAGCTATACTTCCATCCATCTAGTAGGCGAAATCATGTGGTCCTGGTGATACATTCATATCTGGGATTTCCCAGAAATGATACAACCTTTCCAAATTATCAAGGGCTATCAAACTGTTTTTTGTTTGTTTGTTTGAGGGACAGAGTCTTACTCTGTTGCCCAGGTTGAAGTGCAGCTGCTCAATCCCAGCTCGCTGCAGCATCAACTTCCTGGGCTCAAGCTATCCTCTCACCTCAGCCTCCTGAGTAGCTGGGAATACAAGTGTGCACCACCACACCTTACTAATTTTTTTGGTGGAAAGGGTTGGAGAGACAAGGTCTCACTATGTTGCCTAGACTGGTCTTAAACTTCCAGGCTCAAGCCAACTTCCTGCCCTGGCCTCCCAAAGCAGTAAGATTATAGACGTGAGTCACCATGCCTGGCTTGACCTCTTATTTGTCCTAAAATTGTTTTAAGTTTCAGTTGTGAAAATCATTTCTGCATTTCCTTTTTGCATTTTAGTAGCAGTCAAAATCAGATTAAAAGCAGCATCAAGAAAAACACCGACAAGAACACGTTACCAAAAAAACATCTATGAAGAGAACTTAAGAAACGGAGTAGTTTCTCTTCTGTAGCTGGTGATAATGAAAGTTTCAAGGATTATAAATTGGGATTTTTTTTTTAAATACATACATACACAGATGCAGAAATAGGTAATCACATCACACACACACAAAACATAAATGTTTCACGTCTAATTATTCATTTACTTATTTTAAAAATTACTGACCACCTTCTGTATGCCAAGTACTCTTCAGAGACTTAGCACTGAAAAAAATCTACCAAAGTTCTTCACGGCACCTGTGTTGTACTTGGGAGTGGATGGAGACAGATGATCAAAAACTCATATAAAATGTAACATGAGGTGCTATTAAGAACAATGAGGAAATTCTCACAAAGCAGAATAAGAAGACAGTAACAGGGAGATATTTTGGCTGCAGTGGTCGGAGGCGGCTTCTCTTAGGAATCACATCTGAGCAGATACCACAGTCAAGCAAGATAGCAGACCCATGTATACCCACAGGTGGTGGAAGAGCCACGCCCACTGGTCAGCAAGGCCCAGAGGTCGGAATACGCAGGCAGGCTGCTAGTGTCGCCGAGTTACACTATCTGAGTGGGACAATGGGCCATGCGAGAATTCTGGGCATAAGGGTGGCATAATTTCTGCCCTAACAGTATCCTTCTGCCTACAAAGTGGAAAGCTGACATTAGAGGAAAAAACAAAACAAAACAAAACAAAACAAGAAGATTGGCTAAAATCCTTGCAATAGACAGGCAAAGGGGGTGGTGGTTTGGCCACAGTAGCAGCAGTAGACACAGAGGACCAAGTTTTCAGACTGTAGTTTTATTCTGAAAGTAAGGCTGACAGGATTATTGATGGAATGAATATAGGGTTTTGAGAGAAAGAGAAATACCAGGATTGACAATTTGGCTATTGCCCTTACCCACCCAATAACTACATGTAACATTTACTAAGAAGTGTCAGGAAGGAAAAAGTTAAGGGATCAAGAAATCAAGACCTTGATTTGATATACATTATGTTCTATGCCAATTCAGACACTCAGATGTCATCAAAGTGAAGGCAGCTAGTAAACAACTGGAAATCCATGTCCAGTCCAATGGAGACTGGCTGGGCACAGTAGCTCACTCTGTAATCCCAGCACTCTGGGTGGTGCACGTGAGAGGATCGCTTGAGCCCAGGAATTCAAGACAAGCCTGGGCAACACAGTGAGACCCTATCTCTACAAAATATTAAAGAATGAGCCAGGCATGGTGATACATTCCTATAGTCCCAGTTACTTGACAGGCTGAGGCAAGAGGATCACTTAAACCCAGAAGTTTGAGGAAGCAGTGAGTTATGATCACGCCACTGCACTCTAGCATGAGTGAGAGATGCTCACCTCTAAAAATAATAAATAAGTTAATCCAGTAGGGATATATATATATATACACGCACACGCACACGCACACACACACACAAACACACACACCACACACAAATGCAGATACATGAAGAAATATGTATGTGTGTGAGGCTGAAGGAATGAAACTTCAAAAAGGATAACACAGAGGAGGGAGAAGAGAAACTTGAACATCATGTTGTATCTACTTCAGCACCATTTGAAAATTTTGTAATGAAAATGTATTATTTTAGTAACAAAAAGGGTACTTCTTCTGTATTCCGTCAAATAAAGTAAGATGCTGATGGGGAAAAAAAAAACTCAGAAAAATATAAAGATAACAGAGGACCACTGTGAAAAGAACACTCAGAAGCAATCGCTGTTAACTTGTAGATTACTACCTTCCAGGATTTTTCCCTAGGCATTTCTTTTTTAAAACACAGTTCTGTTTTGCTTATTTGTTTTACCACGGGTAAGATGATGCCAAACTCAAAGATGGCAGCCGCAGAATTCAGATCATGTTTTTGTTTTTAATTTTAAGTGTTCATGCTTTTGAGTGAGCTCCACTCACCATGAGGGCGCCCCTACCACTCCCCACCACTTTATACCCCAACTCATTTATCGAGGGCACCACCTGGTATCTGAAGACGTCTGTACTACGTCCCTCCTCCTCAGAGATTCGTGATTGGACTCTCCCTTATAAAACCATAAGCTGTTTTCATTTCATGAAGAGTATTTATAAACCTAATCTCTAAATGGTCGCATTTATATATAATTCTTTATGTACATTTCTGGTCTAGTCTATCTCCTACAAAGCATGTTTTAGCACCATCTCTAGAAGTCATGGTCTAGAAACGAACAAAGGGAGGGCTCTGACTCAAAACAATGACCATGGCCAGCATAATTCTGGACACTGGAGACTTGGTGAGAATAAGACTGACATTCCTGCCCTTACGGGCCTTATATTTTAGTGCAGGTAAGTTGGGGCACATAGTCACAGATAGAAATATTTTAAACATAATTTCAGATATTGAGATGTACATTGAATAAAATAATAACATGTAAGGACATAACCAGAAGTAGAGGGAGAGGAGAGAAAGAGAGGGAATGCAATTTAGGTAAGTGACCAGAGAAAGCCTCCTGCAGAAATGACATTTAAGCCAAAGCTTCAGTGAAGAAACAGAAGCGTGCCAATATCCTAGAGAAGACCAACCAAGTACAAAGAGCAAGAAACACAGAAGCCCTGAAAAGCGAAAGAGCTCAGCTCAGCGTATTAGGGGGACAGGAGGAAGGCAATGTGGCTGGAACATCATAGGAAGTGGGGGCAGACCAGAGATGACCTCACTGGCCACAGTGAAGACTCTGGATCTGCAATAAGAAATTACTGTAAATTTATAAACAGAAACACAGTATGATATTATTTAGGCTTGGAGATTAGTATGGTAGTTACGCAGAGAATAGAACATAAGGAGCAAAAGTAACAGCAGAGAAAGCTGCTAAAAGGCTGCAACTCTATCCAGTCAAGAGATGTCAGTGGCTTGAACCAGCAGTTCAATAGCCGTGGTGGTAAAAAGTATTCAGATTCAGGATATATCTTGGCAATAAGATCAACAGCCCTTGCTAATGGAATCAGAATTCTGAAACTGAGTGAACAAGGAATAGCTGCCCTATCCATACCCAAGTAACTCAGTCCCACCACAAACCTTCTCAACACTCACCATGCTGAGCTGTGTCCAGAGGGTGCAGGCAACGATTAATTGCAACATCAATAATGAAATGTAAGGTGTATTGTACTCTCTCACTTACCCAAATTCGGATCAGTAGGCTGACGTTTCTTAATTTTAGCTTCAGATATAGCAGAATAATAGGCACAAGTCATCTTGATCAGCCACGTTGCTCGAACCATTGGCACAGAATATTTAGCTAAATATGCAAACACATCCTCTTTTTTACTAAGGATAGGAACCTAAAAAGAAATAACATAGTATATTTATAATAATCACATACTGTGTTCATCACTAGATAAACCTAAAGGGGAAGCAAAAGAAAGAGGCTGTAAGTTACCTGCTGGTTCTAAGAAAGTATATCCTTGATGGATTTTCAAATAGTGCATGCAGTTTTGTTCTTGTTTTTGTTTTTTTAAGAAATATTTTAAGCCAATTTTCCTTAAGAAAACACAATCAAAACTAGGTTTACTACCATATAAAAGTTTTATTAGTTGTGCTTATTTTAAAAATAAGTTATTTTCAAATTCCCAGATGCAGAGAGCTACTCATCTTATTAACAGAGCAAGGAAAAATAATCTCATGACAGTCCTCCAAAGAATTTATCTCAAATTGGAAGGGACAGACCAAGTGAAAATTGTCCCTACTCTGTATTTTATCCAGGACCTTTTCTTTTTGTACAAAGCTTTCTGATTAACATTTCGTAAGAGTAACAATTTCCAGAAAGCTTCTAAAAGTGACGTTAGTCCAAAATTTAAAAGAGAGGCTAGAATGAGGATCAGTGAATCTGCCTAATAAACACTGAGCCAGAAATAGCTAGGTAATTAATTTACTGGTTGAAATTAGGCACTTGAGGCAGTTAATTATGTCTTCCAGACCACAAAGGTACTATTTAGCAAATTAGTATCCCAATGTACCAATGAATGGTTTGAAAGAGTTAATTCATTCTTCTAGTATCCCTCATAAACATCCTAAGAATAACCCATTCATCTATATCATCTCTTCAAGTTTATGACTATAAAGGAAGAAAAACAGTGAACAAAGACTATATTAAACATGACGCAGCAAGACGAGAGCAATGAGCCTGAGGGACGAGGACCTACCCAACGCCAGCCACGACCCCCTCTGTACTCCACTCCTGAATGAAGCCTGTTTGGCTAAGCTCAAATTCCCGGGATCCTTATTTACGAACTGTGTTAATAATATCAACCCTGTCCACCTCACAGTGTAGTTATAAGGATAAAGCAAAACAATTACATGAATCAAAATTATAATGATTTGTTGTCAGTTCCAAGGATTTCTCCATGCCAACCAAAGTGCTTTCAGGCCATGAATGTGATCGTTTCTTAGAGGATCCTGAACACTGCTACCATAAATCCCAAGAGCCCTGGTCTCTCTTACTTGATTTGTTGAAAATTAAGGCTTCAAACCAGCTAACTGATTCAGATAGCATGGCATTTTTCTCTTAACCAAATCCTCATCATACAGTAGGTATCTACTACTGATATGTCACAAATTTGAATATTCATACACTTGATACAAAGTGCAATCCTAAAGGCTGGGTGCAGTGGCTCACGCCTGTAATCCCAGCACTTTGGGAAGCCAGGGTGGGTGAATCACGAGGTCAGCAGTTCAAGACCAACCTGACCAACACAGTGAAACTGCATCTCTACTAAAAATACAACAATTAACTGGGCATGGTGGCACGTGCCTGTAATCCCAGCTACTCAGGAGGCTGAGGCAAAAGAATTGCTTGAACCTGGGAGGCGGAGGTTGCAGTGAGCCAAGATAGCTCCACTGTACTCTAGCCTGGGTGACAGAGTAAAGACTCTGTCTCAGAAAAAGAAAAAAAAAGTGTGATCCTAGAATAATTCTTTTTAAGAGATAATTCTTTTAGTGTGTGGCCCTTAAAAACAAGCTAACTATTTCACTTGTTTTTGCCAAAGAAACATGAAGCTTTTCAATGCTGAAAGAAAAGCTGCCTGGGTTGCACATTAAGATGCAGTATATTTGGGTCCTGTACGGTGGCTCATATACCAGCACTTTGGGGGGCAAAGTCAGGTGGATCGCTTGAGCCTAGGAGTTTGAGACCAGCCTGAGAAGCATGGCAAAACCTATGCCTACTAAAAATATAAAAATCAGCAAGATGTGCCAACTGAGGAGGGAGAATCACTTGAGCCTGGGAGGCAGAGGTTGCAGTGAACCAAGATCACACCGCCGCACTCCATTCCGGGCAATACAGAGAGAACAGGTCTCAAAAAAAAAGTGGTGGTGGGGGTGGGGGGGGGTGCAGTGTATCCATATACATATTTCCTGGGCAACTGAAAAGACTTTAGATCATGTACAGCTCCTGCCTTGGGTGCTGACTTCAGAACACAGACCCCATCACAGAGGCAACTGCACTGCACCCAATTCAACTAAAAGGGAGATAAAAGTCATATAGGCCAAAGCTAGAAGGCTTCCTCTCTGCAGACAAGATACTAAATTGTATCTCTTAAAGACAAAAAAAAAAAAAAAAAGATCCAATTTGACAGGAACACTTTCTGAAAATGAGGCTTACAAGGCACATCTCTCATGGAGCACAAGGTTCTCGGTTTAGTGACTATCGTTTAAGTCAGGGACAAGAAAAGCACAGAGTTCAATATTCAGTTCAAGACCTAAGCTGCTGCTTTTCACTAGAATGTACAGGGTGGTGTCAGTGAGTTAAATTTTCATTGTAAAGGTGAGGTTGTCTCTCATGCAGACATGCCAAAAGGTTATATAGGTCAAGGCCTGAAACATAAGCAAGTACAAGTTAGCATCTCCAAAAGAGCCACTATTAGTAGAATCTTTCATAGATGCCTAAATGATTTCCTTTGAAATACAATTGGTAGGGGAAAAAAATAAAATATGTGAACTTGCGAAATGTTTAGATGAGACAGCAAACCAAACTCAGCACAGATCTTACGTTAGCAGCACAATGCAAACCTCTAGCTCACTGTCCATACTGGCAGAAGCCTATGAGAACTGGTTTACGCAAATCAAGGCTTTGGAATTCAGAAGAACATAGGTAAAAGTTACTCAATTAAGAAAGCATACCGACCAGACACATATTAATAATTTTGTCAAATCTACAGTTGGGCCAACTCAGAAAGAAAAATATGTTTATACTGACATATTGACTTCCTCACCTTCTTGCAATACATGTTTTTCAGTAAAGAATCCATCTAATTTTAAATGATAGCTAAAACTTGGAAATCACAGGGCAGCTGTCTGGCTCTAAATCAAGCTACAGGTGCATCTAAGTACAGAAAGAAAATTAAGACACCTAGCATGTGCTCGCTTTCAATCCACAGAAGCGTGTCCTATCACCTTTCTCCTTCAATGTACATTATCACTGCATCCTTTGTTTGCTAAGCAAGGGTAAAGGCAAAAGAAAATTCCATAGACCATAGTAATCAAAGTCACCCGAAAGGAACAGGTGAGAGTTAACGAACTGAACTGTTCAAGACCTAGAAGAATATCCCTAGATGCCAGAAGTCTCCTTTCCAAATAAATCTACAATTGTGATTGAGTTTCAAAGTCCTTTAAGCCTCTCTGTGGATAAAGCCTTGGTGTGCTGTGAAGCTTTATAGTAACAGAAAACCAGGTCTTGAAACACGATCCATACAGGAAACCATTATGAACTTAAGATTTCAAAGATCACTCAGGATCTTAGCAGGTAAACCCAGATTTTCTGCCTAAAGCCATCACACAGATGAATACCAAAAATTAAAGAAGTACTTGCACTCTCTAACATGAAGAACATGCAGAGAATGCATTGCTTACCCAATTCTAAAAGCGATTTCACCATCTCAAAAAGACAGTATGCTGAAGAGGGAAGGGGAAGGATTCTTGAAATGCCCAAGAAATAACTACTTCAAGGTATATTTAATCATTTGATAAAGAAAACATCTTCACGTTTGCAAAGAATTAACATCAGGGCTTACCTGACGAACACCTGACTTGGCCAGAGGCAGCTCCTAATAAAGAAAGAAGAACAAAGGCTAACACACTGCACCATGATTCATCTTCCTCCTGCAAAATGAGAAACCGCTACTCCCTTACGGCAAGGGCATCAACTCCTCAAGAGTAGCAAATCCAAAATATGCACTCTAAAAACTTATGAAAAAAGAAAACCTAAATGGAAAGATGTCAGGCTGGCAACAGAAAAACTATTAACTGTTAGTCAAAAGCCATCACATATTGAAGTATGTCCTATGACTTATATGGCCTTCAGATACATAGGCCACAGTGGGACCACAAAGTAAATGTTCACCACTGGAAAAGGAATCATAACATGGTTCAGCCTGGTTGAGACAGTGGCACTAACTGAAGGGTAAGAGGTGGTTATGCTGACTGTTACACTCTTCCAAGATTTCAGTTGCCGTTCACCGCTGAAATCTACACAAAGCAATACAGCATTATGACATTAAGGCAAAATAAAGCCAATGGAATCTACAGACACTATTTTCAAAGAGTCGCTTTAGAAAACAGGCAAAAATACAAAAGAGCTCCCCAATAAACTGGGCCTATACCAAGCTGGTAATGAAAACTTAATACTAGGAACAGAAGGACAGGCACTCCTAACAGTAAAGGTCCTTAAGAGAGATAAGAAAAGACTCCTGGGATTATTTCAAAGTTATGCAAGAAAGGAGACGTCAAGACTATGAGCAAAGTTTATAAATTTCAAGAGATACATTATTTCGGCCACAAGACTGTTGAATCTGTGTATTATTCCCCACTTGAGGAAAATGACCAAAGGCAAAGATTTTAAAAGAACCTCCCACATCCCCTCCCCTATAAAAAAAGCTAGAAGCTATGAATAAACCTGCCCATTTTGTTCTAAAAATTTTTCAAAGAACAAGCACACAGCATCACAATCTTTCTCTCTCGGTAGAAAGGAGACAGCTTGAAGCATTTGGATGGGTGCTTTTAAAGACAAGAAAATAACCTCAAAGCAAGCATCTCTTTAACAAATCTTGGACATCTTGGCCTAAGAAAACTGGAAATGTAATTTTTTTTTAATGAAGTCTTATTGCCTGTTCTCGATTTTAAAATCTTGTCTACCTAAAATCCACATAAAACAGCTTGGTATGTGGAATGTTTAGGGGTTTATAGATGTCCTAGGCATCACATGCAATAAAAATAAAGAGGAAAACAGCATGGCGTAGCATCCACCTGGTACTGCAAACCTGCCATTAGGATTGCAGTCTCTGAAATAATCGGGAAGAAGAAATATATACTTGAATATATACATTATCACAAACAGCTGATTATAAGACCATAACTAAAACAATGTAAGAAATATTTGATACCTTTTTTGCCAAAACAGAAAGTGGTTTATTTCCTGCTAAGTCAGAAAACCAACTATGAATTGCACTCTGGGATCGAGCAGTAACCAGCCAATAATTGTCTTTAGCATTAACTTGTGGTTTCTTCTTTCCCGTGTCCTGGAAAGTGTTAAGCTTCAGCTTCTCAGCTAATATGCTGCTAAAATAAGCTCCAATCTGTGGAAAGAAGAGAAAAAAAAGAGAAAGTTAAGACAATAAGCAAGTAGCTCAGTACTATACATTATTATTTTATCTTTATTGTTTCAACTGAAAATCTTCATACAGCCCATAAGAAAACAAATTGGGAATTTAAGTCCTTGAAGCCAAGAGACGTGATTTTGCTACACTAACTATGACACACACACTTTTATACCACTATTCACAAGTAGTTCAGCAGAGGGGGGCAAGGAGAGCCTTTGGAAATTTCTAAGATGAAATTAATTACATCCTGAATAAATTTCAGAAGAACAGGTTCTGCTTTAATCCTTCAGCTGCACTTTCTCCTTTCTCATACTACACACCCATCAGGAGAGAATGCTTTCCCTGAGAGAAGAAAGCCTAGTAATCACTCAGTAATCATTCTTTTTCCCATTTCATCTTAATAGCACTTATTTTTGGAAAGGAAACTCAGTATTTACACTCAATGCTTTTAAACAAAGAGTCTATAGAAATTTATTTAAATGGCAAATTACAAAAGGTTCAATTAAATTTGGTATTCAGCATTTTTGATTGGGCTGCCAATTTCACAACTACAAGTATTTCAAGAGAAAGCTAGTATTACCTGCTCTGAATGAAAGTGGCAAAGAAAGCTACTATGAATTACTGTACCATTTTCATATTAACCAAATTAAAAGATGGACAAGGAAAAAAGAAAGGAACAGGAAATAAGTGACAAGAAGGCAGAAATCAAAGTAATCTATAAAAATGTAGTGAATCTCACTAGGTGTGGTGGCTCATGCCTGATCCGTGTAATCACAGCACTTTGGGAAGCCAAGGAAGGCAGATCACCTGAGGTCAAGAGTTTGAGACCAGCCTGGCCAACATGGCAAAACCCCGTCTCTACTGAAATTAAAAAAAAAAAAAAGCAACAACAAAAAAACAAAATTAGCCCAGCATGGTAGCACACGCCTATAATACCAGCTACTTGGGAGGCTAAGGTATGAAAATTGCTTGAACCCGGGAGGCAGAGGTTGCAGTGAGCCAAGATCACACCAGTGCACTACAGCCTGGGTGACACAGCAAGACTCCAACTCAAAAAAATAAACAAACAAAAAGTTCAGTGAATCTATAAAAAATGTGTTGGAATTTTTTCAAGAATCCTATCAAAGCATCACATTTCAGACTCTGGGGGTTCTTTAATAAGACGATGCAGTTAATTTCTGATAAATGCCCCCAATGAAGTTAGAAAACACTGGCAACCATGACTAAAATAAAATACCCTGTTGAAGCAAAATATGAATCACTGCCTTAATGAGTCAAGAAATAATTAATCTATAGGTTGAAACACAGTTATAAGTCATTAGCCAAGTTCATCTAGGGGGTGAAAAGCCTGATATTCTTTGATTTTTGTGAATGATATAATGATAAGAACTCTGCTTTTAGTGTGTAAATGTAATACAATAAAAAAATTAAAATAAGTAGAAAAAAAGGTTTTCTTTTTTTTTATACAACTTCATTACAGTTTTTGTGATTTTTTTTAAAGCAAACATTTGAAGGACATCCAAACAGTGAATAAATTAAGGGTAAAAATGTAGCAAAACCAGCTGTTTGGAAACAAGCAGCCAGTAGCAGCCAACTGTTAAATTTCTCAATTGATATTTGGTCTTTGCACTAAGAGCATAAAACACCTACAGCTGTAGATTGCTTTACATTTAAAAGGTCTCTTATTTGCAATTACATACAAGTATTTAATAATAAAGGAATAAAAATGAAAAAGTAATCTGAGCAATCAATTTTATTATATTCTCCTATATGCTTAATGATAGCAATGGAACACAGTGACTGCATGTATTAATTCCTGCTAACAAGCCTTTGTAAACAAATGCATACTGTAAACAAAGTCAGAATTCCCAAGAAAGCAAAAGACTGGAAAATACATATTAGGGCTCCAAAAAAAGGTCAAAACATGATTATAACATTGAATTTTATTGTAATAGCAATATATTTATATTATTCAGAAATCAATCCAAAAATTCAACAAAAAGAAAAGAGCCTCATTTCCAAGTCCCAATGCCTACCTCCAAGTAAACAATTTGATTTTTTTTTTTCTGCTGAGATTTATTTTATTTCTCTTGTAAAACAGAGGAGGGGTTAAATAGAGGGTATTGGATTTGGCAGCTGCAGCCCCTTGGGACCCCCTTTTTTTCTTTTTTTGAGAGGGACTTTCATTCTTGTTGCCCAGGCTGGAGTACAATGGCACCATCTTGGCTCACTGCAACATCCACCTCCCAGGTTCAAGCAATTCTCCTGCCTCAGCCTCCCAAGTAGCTAGGATTACAGATGCCCGCCACTACTCCTTTTTTTTTGAGAGACGGAGTTCCACCATGCTGGCCAGGTTAGTCTCGACCTGACCTCAGGTGATCCGCCTGCCTCAGCCTCCCAAAGTACTGGGATTACAGGCGTAAGCCACCGTGCCTAGCCGGGACTCTTTTTACCAGAGGAGAGGGAGAAGACACATAGCGAGGGAAGTGTTCTTTCAGTATGTAGGTGCTTCAGGGAGAACCAAACTATTTCATTGGCATTCCCCCTGCCATACCACTGGAACTGGTGCTTGGAGCCGAAGGGAAGTGAGATCAGTAGATTAGTCACCGACACTATCATAAGCACTGCCAGAGAGGTCGAAAGCAGACATCATGGAATCAGACAGCTTGCTGGCGATTTTGTCTGCATGTTTCTGCATCATCTTATTCTTCAGGACGGACGCCAGAGCCTGACCCCATTGCAGGAGATTTGTCTCCATGATCCTCTGCAGCACTGGGCAGCAGTCCACTGAGCAGACATCCACCATATTGTTGTTCTTAGGGTAGTGGTTCACACTGCATTTAGCCCACCCCATCTGATGATGGTTTAGATTGGTGCAATACCCAGTGAGATCTCCAATCTTATACATGGTGGTTTTACTTTCAATGGCATCTGCTATTTTCATCATTGAAGAATGGAGTAACTTGATCTCCATTTCAAGTGGGTCCATACCACCTAACAGCTCATCAGATTCTCCAGTGGCCAAGCATTCCATGGTGTCTTCATTGGCCTACTCAGTATCCTCGATGTCAAAGACCTCAGTCACTTCCTTAACAATCTCAGCACTGAGATGGGCAGACTGACTGTGAGTAGGTGGTGGTGGTATATAGAAGCTGATATTCCCACTGACCCAGTCAGCTAGAACAGCTTTGGCCGCCTGTTCCTGACTGTATAAGCCTCCCTTCTTCTTCCCCAAATGGTGGGCCACTACCGTGCAAAAGTGCTCAGTGGTCTGGAACCCAGAGACACTATAGTTGTTGGAAATCTCCTCCAGGTTGCAGCGCTGCAGGATGGTTTCCACAGGGGTCACGGGGTCTGCCAGCTTCTGCACGTGAACGCAGTTACGCAGGATGGTGCCCACCTCTGAGTTGGGGCCTGGGACAATGCCTGAAGCATCCAGCAGCCAGATTAACTTGTCCAGATGGACCTCCTCCATGAATGTGGTAATCCCAGAAACAGCTCCCATGCTGCATGCATGGCTGTGCTTCAGGCTATCAATAAGGCTGCTCTTCCCAACATTAGGAAGACCCACAACGGCACACCAATGTGGGTGTGCACTTCACCAAGGCGGCAATAGTTCCCCAGAACCCTCATGGGGTTTTCAGCTCATAAGCAGGCTTTGCTTTTCAGCAGTGACTCAGAGGCTTGATCTACTGGTACACTGCAACAATTCAGGTTTTTGACTTGATGCTGGGTACTGGCCTTGAAAGCCATGGTTAGCAACTCATTCTGAAAGTAATCCAGCCATTTCTCCACAACCTCCTTGGGGACCAGGTCGATCTTGTTCAAGACCAGGACCAGCTTCTTGTTGCCTTGTGCTCGCAAGACAGCCTCCTCTATTTGGAAGCAGCGGCAGCCTGATGGGTCTCTGGCATCCAGGACTTCCAGAATCACATCCGAGTATTCCACCACCTTACGGACCTCCTTGTAATAAGCCTTCCTCGTGGTCTCCTATGTATTTAATTCCTGCAAAACTTCCCCTTAAGCTCAAACTCCTCCTGGCGTCTCAGGACATCCTCACAGTAGCTCTCGATGGCCCTGCGTTTTTGTCTTTCTTGGCAACTTTTGTCTTTCTTGGCAACTTTTGTCTTTCCCAGGCAACTTGCTGCATCTCCTCAACCTTCTTTTTTTTTTTGACTGTGATTCCCACTTTCAGATCAAACATACAGAGAACGCTCTTCTTTAATTCAGCCTCTCGATTGGCATGATCATCGGAGTGAACCAAATGAAGTGCACTGGGCACTTTGGAGGTTGCTTTCTTCCCATTTTGCTTTGCAGGCTTCTTGTGGCCCTCAGAACCCTCATCTGGCTTTTTATTTTTGTGTCTAAGTTTCATCATGATGACCAGCTTGAAAGCAGATAGGTTCAAATCTGCTTGTTCTTTTCCAATACTTCCGGCGGGGATGTGAGAAGAGACACCAACACAGACCACTCTTGGGCGAGCAATTAAATGCTTTCCCGCAACTAGGCTCCGACGTCGGGATCCTAGGCCTGCGGCTCCCGACTCCACCCACTGTGCGTTCACCCACTGTGCGTTCTCCAAGGGTGGGCTTCCAGGCCTTCCTCCCTACCACTCTGGCCCCACGTCCTGGCTGCCACAAGGGTAGGAAATAGCGGAGGAGGTAGAGGAAAGACAGCGGCGAAGTGACAGGGAAGAAGCAGTGGGCCGACTGGTGCGGCCATATACCCTTCTCGCAAGCCAAAATTTTGCCTGCGGGCATCTGTCTGGGGTTAAATATGCGTACTCCCAAACCTCAGTAATCAGGCAGTCACCATGCCCGAATCAGACAAGGGTGGGGGGTGGTGTCTTTGTCTGCCTGGAAGACGGCGACAGCAGGGTGTAAGAAAATGGCCATCTGGGTCACATGTCTGGCTGAGTATTCCCCACCTGAAGTGAATTGGTTAGCTATTCCCAACCACCTTCCCAGGTCCCTGGGCCATAGACAATCCCTGAGTACTTCCAGGTCTTTCTGCATAAGTTCAGATCTACGGCTAGACCGAACCCGAGCTGGAGCAGGAGGCAGAACAACTAGAAGCCTCTCCCACCCATCTGCCTTCTTCCCCTCCTACTCCATCCTTCCCTCAATCACCTTTAATTCATTTTTATGTGTCCTTCCAGTGTTTCTTTATGCGAATACAGGTAAGTAAACACACATCTATTATTTTTATCTTCCTTGTATGTATAGCTCATTATGCACACTTGGTAAATATGAGACCCTTCCTTATCTGTATACCGAAAGCAGCTTCATTTTTATAGAGGCATAACAATGTACTGTGTGGATATATATTTTATTTAATCATGCTACCATTAATGGACATTCATAGCATTTGTTCCAAAATTTTGCTGTTACAAATCATACTAAAATGAACAGCCTTTCACATTTGTTATTTCAAACGTAGCTAGAGCTTTAGGATAACTTCCAGAATTCAGATTGTATAATTCTGCAATTTTAATAAACATTGCCAAATTGCCCTCCAAGAGGTTTATACAATTGTGTACTCCCTAAAACAAGGTACAAAAGATAAGGTTTTTGTTTTTAGGGTTTTATTTTGTTCGAGACACAGTCTCGCTCTGTTGCCCAAGCTGGAATGCATTAGCGTGATCTTGGCTTACTGCAACCTCTGCCTTCTGGGTTCAAGCGATTCTCCTGCCTCAGCCTCCCAAAGTAGCTGGGATTACAGGTGCCCACCACCACACCCAGCTAATTTCTTTCTTTTTTTTCTTTTTTTTTTTTAAACTAAAGATGGGGTTTCACCATGTTGGCTAGGCTGCTCTTGAACTCCTGACCTCAGGTGGTCTGCCCCCACCAACCCCACGGCCTCCCAAAGTGCTGGGATTACAGGTGTGAGCCACAGTGCCTGATCAGAGATAAGATCTGTTTAACATTTGTTTTCATCCAACCAAAGTTATTTTTAAAAATCATTTGATAAAAATATGGGGAAAAAATTTAGAAGTTACATTATAATTCATGTATTTCATATTTATAAAATTAAATTCCCCTCAGAAGTTTTGGGTCCTTGAGTAAATCTCACAGAAAGAGTGGTAGAACAAGTCTAATAGATGTTATTTTTATTCACTCAGTTATTTAAATTGACATAAAACCTGATACAACTGAACAATTTAGCAGTTTACAACAAGAGACATAAAGCATTCATACCCTCTTTTACGGACTAAATTGTACATCCTCAAAATTCATCTGCAAGCCTTAACCCTCAATGTGACTATATTTGGAGATAGGGCCTTAAGGAAGTAAGTAAGGTTAAATAAGGTGACAGGACTGGGGCCTAATCCAGTAGGACTTTATAAGAAGAAGACACACCAGGGAGGAACGCACAAGGAGAAAACACCATGCGAAGACACAGTGAGAAGGTGGCCATCTGCAAGCCAAGAAGAGAGACAACTGGAGACAGCAAGTCTGGTGCCAGATTGCCCTCCAACAGGTTTATACAATTGTGTACTCCCTCAAACAAGGTATAAAAGATAAGGTTTGGGGGTTTTTTTGGGATTTTTTTTTTCTTCTTCTTCTTAGAGTCTTGCTCTGTTGCCCAGGCTGGAATGCACTGCCATAATCTCGGCTCACTGCAACCTCTGCCTACTGCGTTCAAGCAATTCTCTTGCCTCAGCCTCCCAGAGTACCTGGGATTACAGGTGCCCACCAACATACCCGGCTAATTTTGCTGACAGGTCTGGTGTTTTATGTTGGACTTTCAGCCCTCAGACAGTGAGAAAATAAATTTCTATTGTTAAAGGCACCCAGTCTGAAGTATTTTGTTATATCAGCCCTCATAGATTAATATACCCTTTAACCAAGTATTAATACAATTCAGGGAATTTATCCTAAAGAACAAAAGCTATACGTTCAAGTAGGACCACAGTTTCTTTATAAATAAGCATGAGAAACTGGCAACAAACTAATTGCTGTATATAGAGGTTTCAGTCAATTACATAACATACATCATGGAATGTTATCTAGCCATAAATTATTATTCATATGACTACTTCAGCCATAAGGAAAAGTGCATACAAAATAATGTTTCAATTTTTTAAAGATCAATTAAGAAAGATGAAAAAGCTCTGAGGCCGGGCGCAGTGGCTCACGTCTGTAATCCCGGCACTTTGGGAGGCCAAGGCAGGCAGATCACTTAAGGTCAGGAGTTTAAGAGCAGCCTGGCCAACATGGTGAAATCCCATCTCTACAAAAATACAAACATTAGCCAGGCGTGGTGGCACATACCTGCAGTCGCCGCTAATCGGGAAGCTGAGGCATGAGAATGGCTTGAACTCGAAACGCAGAGGCTGCAGTGAACAAAGATTGTGCCACTGCACTCCAGCCTGGGCGACAGAGCAAGACTCTGTCTCAAAAAAAATAAATTAAATTAAATTTTAAAAAAAGAAAAAATTCTGGAGATGGATGATATTGATGGTTCATGTTTGCAACAACAATGCAAATGTACTTAATGACCAAGGGCTGTACACTTAAAAATGATGAAATGGTAAATGTTATGTTTTATCGTAATTTTTAAAAAGGAACACAAATTACATATACATAATTGCGGTTGGTAAAAAATTGTACCAAGATTGGAAAAAGACAAAACTAAAATCATTGTATTTGGTCAATGGGACTATCTGCAGAAAATGTTTCTATTTTCTTTCACACTGCTTAAGTAATCTTGTATATTTGTTTATATATGTATGCACATAAAAAACAGATCTAGAATGATACCCAAACCATTAACATGTTTCTCTGGAGAAGGAAAAAGAAATAGAAATTCACCTGCATATCTGATTTCTTTTCATTTGTATGTATGATGTTTTTAATTTCTATTTTAATATCCAATTCAAAATATATGAAAAAAATCAAACAGTAAAAGAATACAAATAGAAATACAAACAATTCTATTTATATTCCTAATTGATAAGATAAACACAGAAAAAGACATTTAAAAAATTTTTGAGCACAACATTCTGACTATATGCTTTTAATGAAAGTTAGTCTAAGAGCAAAAAGTATTGTAAAAAAACTGTACATTTATTCAATAGTTTTGCTGCTGGAGTGGCAACGAAGTACTTTATTCTGGAACTTTTCTATATGTGTTGTAAGATAGAATAAATGAATAAATATATTGATACTAATAAGAGCCAGGGTTCTCAGTTTGGGAGAGAGGAAACCTAAACACAGAAAATGAAAAGGTAGGGGAAATACCCTGCAGCACTGGGCTAGAAATGGTAATGATAGGTAGGTAGAAAAAATATCTATCTATGTTTCCCATCTCTATCCACTGAGAAAGCCTAGAAAGAATGACACTCCAGTAGCACTGAGCATGTCTAGCATCCAGATCTGGTTTGGGAAAGAACAAATTTGGAATGTGTTTTGGTGCCAAAAGGAAGGAAGTGCTCATAGTATGACAAAGACATTTAACCAGGAGCCAGGTTACAGGGGCCCCTGCTGGCCAAACATGAGACAATTTGAGCATCAAAAAGAAAAATGAAAGTATAGATTATAATACATTAAATTAAATGAAAAAAACCCAAAGTGATACTAAAAACTTGAGTTTAAAAGGAAGCACTTCTTTTTATAAACCAATGCCAAGCAAAACATGAGTAAGGAATGATAATTAGAAAACCTGCGTTTTGTAATCACCAGCAAAATAAATCATTCAGCAGGAGTCATCAACTGATGCTGAAATAACAGAGTGAATTTTTATTGAAGAATAGGATATTTATATCCTCTCACCTTGTAGACCTTACTAAGAGGTAGAGATGACTACCTTTCCACTGCAGGGAGATGGCAGAGACCACCTGGACCAAGCAATCAAACTATAACCAATAATAGGGCAAACTGGCATTACATGTCTCCTGATATGATGCAATGTTGTCTTCTTACAAAAAAAAACTAACCTGAATCCTGTCATGAGAAAACAATCAGAAAAATCTAGAATATAGCACTAGTATGTCAGACAACTGATCTAGGCTCCTCTAGTGTAGCAGTCATGAAAGCCTTTTTAAAAAGGCAGGAGAGAAAAGGAGGAAGAGAGGTAGAGAGCTGTACTGTACTAAATTAAAAGATGTGACAGCTAAATGTAATGTATGATCCCTGATTGGATCCTGGAGAAGGGGAGCATACAGGGTATTTGGGGGAATTCTGAGTATGGATTGTAGCTTAAATAACATTAATTTATCAACACTGATTATCGAGGATGTCACATATACACACTTTTTCACAAGTTTGAGGAAACAATTAACATTACCTTTGATGGATTAATTACAATATTTCTGGCTGAGCCATGTTCATCTCCAGTGAAGGCTGGCTGATTATTGAAGCCTTGCTTTACATTCACAGCAGTAAGTTCATCCTGTTCAAGAGAAGGTACTGATTAAGCAGAAGGATGTAAAAACTTCAACATAATCCAACATATTGCATCCTAAGTAATAGCTAAATTTATTATATTCTGTAGAGGAGAATTCTTGAAAGGACAACAATCAAAGAAGGCAGAGATTGAAGTTAAAACACCAATATGTGAATTTGTAGAGAGATAAAGCGAATGTAGCAAATGTTAACTATTGACTCTAGGTATACAGCATATGGGTGTTCATTATACCTTTTTTTGGGGGGGGGGGAGATGGTGTCTCTGTTGCCCAGGCTGGAGTGCAGTGGTGCAATCTCAGCTAACTGCAACCTCTACCTCCTGGGTTCAGGCAATTCTCCTGCCCCAGCCTCCTAAGTAGCCAGAATTAGAAGTACCCGCCACGACACCCAGCTAACTTTTGTATTTTTAGTAGAAACAGGATTCACCATGTTGGCCAGGCTGGTCTCGAACTCTTTTTTTTTTTTTTTTTTTTTTTTTTTTTTGAGACAGAGTTTCACTCTTGTTACCCAGGCTGGAGTGCAATGGCGCAATCTTGGCTCACCGCAACCTCCGCCTCCTGGGTTCAGGCAATTCTCCTGCCTCAGCCTCCTGAGTAGGTGGGATTACAGGCATGCACCACCATGCCCAGCTAATTTTTTTTTGTATTTTTAGTAGAGACGGGGTTTCATCATGTTGACCAGGATGGTCTCGATCTCTTGACCTCATGATCCACCCACCTCGGCCTCCCAAAGTGCTGGGATTACAGGCTTGAGCCACCGCGCCCGGCCTCAAACTCTTGATCTCAAGTGATCCTCTGGCCTCAGCCTCCCAAAGTGATTGGACTACAGGTGTGAGCCACCATGCCTGGCCCATTATACTATTCTTTAAACTTTACTGTAAGTTTATAATTTTTTAACTTACACGTTAGAAAAAGATTTTAAAATGAGCAAAAATTCCACAGCAATATAAAATGATAGAATTTTTTTTAAGAATTGTTTCCGAGCTGTGCACGGTGGCTCACACCTGTAATCCCAGAACTTTGGGAGGTCAACGCAAGTGGATCCTCTGAGGTTAGGAGTTGAAGACCAGCCTGGCCAGCCATGATGAGATCCCATCTCTACCAAAAACACAAAAATTAGCCAGGCATCATGGCAGGTGCCTGTAATCCCAGCTACAGAAGCTTGAGGCAGGAGAATCGCTAGAATCCAGGAGGCGGAGGTTGAAGTGAGCTGAGACCACTGCATTCCAGCCTGGGTGACAGAGCAAGACTTCCTCTCAAAAAAAAAAAAAAAGGCGGGGGCATTGTTTCCTGAGAGTCCATAGTTTGACTCTCTATTCCTGATCAGCCTCTAGGCACACGCCTAATTTATGTTTAAGAAAGCTGGGTTACTAGCTTACCCAAGACTTATGGTGAATTAAAGACAAATGAAGGGTTTCTAGGCACATGCCTTATGATTATAGCCACACAACATCACAACCTACAACTGAAGGGAAGTTTAGAGCTGCAATGTTTTCTCACATATTTTGGCTCACTTGATCTTTACCAACTCCAATTCCAAGGGAGAGGGTAGACATGTATCTTCATGCCCGTTGTACAGATGAGAAAAGTGTGCCTCACTAAGCTAGTGCAGCAACTGGACAAAGCCAGCACAGAAATACTATCTTCTAAATCCTAGACTAGGAAGAGAAATTTCCATGACACCATGCCACCAAAGAACAAATGCCACATGAAAATGTGGTCTAAAAATATGTGGCTACAACTCCTACTCTCCTTAAAAAGACCTCCTACTGGATAGACATAGGAACACTTTTCCAAGGTCACAACACATCAAAAATAACCCAAGCCTTTAAAAAAAAAAAAAAAAAAAACCTCCTTGCCCTACCCAGATTATCAGAGTTATGGAATTAAATTCAAGTTTCTAAAATACAGACTTGAAAAAATAAGAGGTAGAGGTTTGAATAAATGAAGCTGCCTCCTGCTCCCCTCACCCAAGCCAAGAAATAATCCTAGTAACAGTTGGAGTAATAGTAGCCACGGCATAAGAATAAGATATACTTATTACTTTAAGTAATTTCTGCATGCGTAAAATGAAAAACAGCAATTGATCAAAATCACTGCTAAGATTAATCAAGAAGCTTAGAACAAAATAGTTTATGACATTTAAGCACCTGACCAAAGTCTAAAAAGGTCACCTTGGCTAAGAACAGAGGTCTCCTGGAGACATGCCACGTAACTTTACTTAATTATGTGTGCTCTTACTAATGCCTTGGCGAGCCACTGTTTTGGCGAGTTTTCAAAAGACCCCTGTATAGGAAATTTCACTTAATGGTAATCAAGTGTCCTCCAAGCACAGAAGGTCACTGAAATTGTGATCCACACAGAAGATGAGTTACATGTACATATCAGAAGGTATCTCCAAACTGCTCCCACATTTTCAAATAAACTATGTGAAAATCTAGAGCAAAACTACATAATGCATACTTTAAGTCAGAAAGGTTTCAGTCAATTCAAAGCCAATATGCTACCGAAATTTCAGTAGTCTCTGAGACTAAGAAAGTAGGAGTACTAGTAGTGAGCTCAGGGAGAAAGTAGGATGAGAAAATTGAATATTTATCTTTGATTTACCATCAGAGTATTACAAGAAACACTGAGTAACAGCATATGTTTTTACTAAAAATACATTCTGGCCTAATCAAGAAGAATGTGTGAGGTTTTCAGAACCACATAGTTCTATTTAGTGTTGCTTCACTTTTTAGTTTAAACTAACACCAGATAGATAGCTGCTCATTGTATCCAATTGCTAAACACCGGCATGAAGAGATGCCCACTCCTGATATGTGCAAACTCAGAATCCCCAGAAGAAAAAGAACATGGAACTAGATATACATATCTGTCATCTGCTTCAGATTTTCCTCAAACTAGGAGCCACACTGCTATTATTGGGAACCTTGAGTTCTGAGAATTTTAAACGCTGCATTCTAAATTTCACAAAAATCCATGTAGAATTTGATCACTTCTCACCACCAGCACTGCATCATCTCGTGCTCAGCCAATGCAATGGCTCCTGACTGGTCTAGCTTCTCCTCTTGTCCCCTGAAGAACCCTTTGACCACAGCAGCCATAGGAAGCTTTTTAAAACTCAAGTGAGACCATGTCACTCCTGCTCAAAACCTGCAGTAATGCTCTATTTTACTCAAAGTACAAGCAAAGGCCCTATAATGTCTTAAATGTCCCTGTGTGATCTTAACACCATTACCTTTCTGGCCTCATCCCTAACCATACTCCCCTTCACTAACACGGTCCAGTCTCCTTGCAATTCCTCAAACATAGCAGCCCAACATTCTCTAATCAGGGAGTTTGCACTGTCCATTCCCTCTGCCTGGACTGCTCTTTTTCCTGGTGTCCACATGGTCAATGACCTGACCATCTTAAGTTTTTGCTCAAATTTCACATTCTCAATGAGAAAAGTGATGACTCTCTTTAAAATCGGAACTGCCCACCCATTCCCTTTACCTCCCACTTCAACAATCCATAGCATTTATCACCTAAAACACACTGTCATTTACTTACAATGTGTATTACTGGTCTCCTTGAGGAGAAGGTAAGGTGCATAAAACTGGGGATCATAATTTTGTTCACAAACACAGGACAAGCACAGAGCCCACAGATGCAGTGCCTGGCAAATAGCACACATTGTAGGTGTTCAATAAATATTTGTTCAAAGAATAAATGAATGAATGATATCCTATTCTGAACAATTAACATGAGCATATTCTGAGTCACTACCTCATGAATCTGGAGCTGTAATTTCATTTGTGTTTCTAACCAGCATCGCTTTGTCACCCAGAGTAGGGGCACTCACCCCACCCAGCAAGCCTCACACACCATCCTGAAAACAAAGATTTTATTACATCAATTTCCCTAGTGTGAAATGAAATTCATAGATAACTTACCTATACCAATATTTTTTAAAATCAATATAATGCTCTCATTCTAAAATTGTTAAAAAGGAAGTAACTTATGATTAAATAGGCACTTCAACAGGAAACATTCAGGCACACTACACTGGACTCTCACAACTGCGAAGTGTGGTCAATGGCCCAGGAACACTGGCATTACCTGGGAGCCTATTAGAAATGCAGAATCTTGGCCAGGCATAGTGGCTCATGCCTGTAATCCCAGTACTTTGGGAGGCCGAGGCAAGCAAATCACAAGGTCAGGAGTTTGAGACCAGTGTGGTCAACATGGTGAAACCCCGTCTCTACTAAAAATACAAAATATTAGCCAAGCGTAGTAGTGGGCACCTGTAATCCTAGAGGTAGGAGAATTACTAGAACTCAGGAGGCAGAGGTTGCAGTGAGCCAAGATCACACCACTACACTCCAGCCCAAGCAACAGTGCGAGACTCCATCTCAAAAATAAATAAATAAATAAATAAATAAATGAAAAGAAATACAGAATCTCAGCCTCTCCCACCGAGTCATAATCAGCATCTTAACAAATTCCCACATGATTCATGGACACATTAAACTTTGAAGAAGCAGGGTCCTACAAGACAAATTGTTAAATGTTTGTTCCTATGCCTAGCATCAGCATTAACATAGTAACTACAAAATGCAAACTGATATAGACAGTTGTGCTGTACTGCCATTTAAAATGAGCAGGAAGAGTATCACATGAATTTTTTGAAACAGTGAAACACTCTTGGTACAGTTTCAAACTAACAAAACAGTCTCCCAACATATTAAGACACAACAGTTATATTCCTCGGAATCTCAGTGTATATTAAATGTATATAAAAATCATACAAAAAATACTCTGAGATCATATATAAGACAGATTCCCACCTGAGATAGGAAAAAACAGTTGAAGTTCAGTGACACATCTGAAAGTGCAGGAGACACAGGAAAATTCTTCATGGAGCCCACCCATCTGCACACTGAGGACAGCCCCACCCACTCAATGGTAGCAGCCACAAGCAACTAACTTGTCACATCTCCTGCCC